TAACATAGGGAAGCATTACTGATGATCGTTATATAAATTTAACATTGACTTGAAATTACATCCACTTATGAAACCATTTAACATACATTCCTTAGATTATCAAATATAAGCATTCTGGCCTCTAAAACAAAGCCTGATATAAATCCTACATTCTACTAAGTGCCATTATAAAATTAGAGACATGTTACCAAAAGAGAATTCCAAAATAGGCTGAGTTTAAAACCTTGGATGAAGAAGAGAATAGGATAGTGGCTGGTCCTGTGGTAGTTCACTTGTTTGCTGTTCATTTGAAAATTAGGTGGCTGTTACCACTGGTCACATCCCTCATCCTCATGACCACAGAGACATCTGTCTTGTTATCGAATTTACTTACCTCTGTGCTTTAGGACTTTTAGACATTGTCCTCGTTCTGCTTTGATCTGGGCATTTTTGTCCTTTTAATCAGGAATTCTACTGCAGTAACACAGTTCACCAAAGGGGTTCAACTCTCAAACTGTACTTCAACCAGAAAAGCCCCATGTTAGAGCCTTCTGCTTATGTAAAACATACTCATCACTGAACTTTGAATTAAAAATTCCCTATTAAAATTCTGTAATCATCTGTTTTCCTTCTAGCATAAACTTTGCATTTCAGGTTAAAATTAGATAGTTCTGATGAACAGGGCATTTCATTCTTGGAAGAAAATTGTAGCTATATGACAGTGTGAAATTTCTCAAAATAAAATGTATACTTTCATAATATAGACAGATTCCTCATAAAGGAAATTTGCTATATAAATAATTTATTTACAAAGATAAACCATAAACAAAGACTTCCCCATAATCCTCTTTTTTAACAGAGACTGTATATTCAATATAATCTCAGTTACATAAACAAATATGCAAATTTATAGATACAAAGACACAAAAAACTCATTGAAAGAAATATTCCAAAATGTTAAGAATAAATATCTCAGAATGGTGTAATTATGAATGGCTTGTATTTCTTTATATTTTTTGAATTTTAAGTTTTCTTCTTCAGTAAATTAGAATTACTATAGTATTATGGAAAATAGATTTAAATATGTCTATGCATATGCATATGTGCCTTTTTATTGTGGTAAAATTCACATAACATACAATTTTCAATTTTAATAATTTTAAAGTGTACAATTCAGTGGCATCAAGTACATTCACAGTGTTGTATAACCATCACAACTATTTAGTTCCAGAACATTTTCATCACCCCAAATGTAAACCCTGTACCCATTAACCAGCACTTGCCATTCACTCCCTTCTCCCATCTCCTGGCAAGCACTAATATGCAATTGACCTCTATGGAATTTCACATTCTGGATATTTCATATAAATAGCATCATATAGTATGTGGCCTTTTGTGTCTGGCTTCTTTCACTTAACATAATGATTTCAAGGTTCATTCATGGCATAACATGTATTAGCACTTCAGTTTTTAAATAGTTGAATAATATTAAATTGTACAGATATACCACATTTTGTTTATCCCTTAATCTGTTGATAGACATTTGGATTGTTTCTACCTTTTGATTTTTTTGAATACTGCTGCTATGAACAAACACAAGTTTTTGTTTCAGCACCTGTGTTCACTTATTTTGGGTATATACCTAGAAGTGGAGTTTTATTGACAGGTACTTTTAAAAAATGCCTTTAATTCATCTTTACTATTCTGTGTTTAAAGTAGCAATGCTTTCTTAGAATTATTAATGATAACCGTTATAACATCATTCCACAATAATACCATTCAATTTTCAATCACTGACTCGGGCACAGTTTTCTAAATGCCAAACAACATTCTTATATTTTAAAAGGTAATTTTCACCCTTACTCTTTGGAAACAAGTTTCTCTTATGCTAAAATACAGTCAGCCCTCGTTTATCGTGATTAATCAGTTCCAGGCTCTACCATGATAAATGAATTTAGGCGAAGTAGGATTCTTTATTTACTATAAGTCGTCCCTCGCCTCTTCGTGCTTCGACTTTCACAGCTTCACTCGCGAAGTGGTGAGGGACGATTGTACTTTAAACTATGAGAACTGAAAAGTACAGTCTTTTCTTTTTAGCATAGCCATTCTAGCAGTACCTAATTCACTTTCAAATGCTTATAAAGTACTAAAATATATGTTTGTATATTTTGTTGGTACTTTAACAGGAAAGCATCACTAAATAGACACCATTATTTAAGCCTTAAGGAATGTATTCAATATATAATACCAAGTAGAAGCAATATAGAATCTTCTAGAATCTAGAAATTCAAACTGGCAGATAGTGACCAGAGAGGATAAATATACCCTGAAAGAGTACACAGTACCAATTCTTTTTTATTTTTTAATCCTCACCTGAGGATATTTTTCCATTTATCTTCAGATAAAGTGGGAGAGAGGGAGTGAGGAAGACACACATTGATTGGTTGCCTCCTGTACTACCCTGACCAGAGCCAGGGACCAAACACCAACTGAGGTACGTGCCCTTGACAGGAATGGAACCGAGACTCTTTGGTCTGCAGGCCAATGCTCTAACTGCTGAGCCAAACCATCTAGGGCCATAGAACCCATTCTTAAGTGCTTTATCCCTCACCCTCCGTGAGAAAGCTGATACATCTCATGAACATACAAGCCCAAAATTATCAATGTTAATTTTAGCTGTAGACAGTGCTTGAAGTGGACTAAAGAAAATAATGGTGGACTCTGTGCTTACCATACATACTTAACAATTGTTGGATTCTTTCAGTGTTCCTTCCCCCAAAACACATGCACACACATTTATGCAATATACATTCATGCACATGCATACCTGTACACATCGTGTGCTGGCACACACACACACACACACACACACACACACACCCCTAAACTATACTTCCAACTCAGTGGCTGCAATTAAGTTATTGGTAAAAGTGTTTTTATGGCTCAGTCATCCCCTAGATGACAGGTTTTTTCCCCATTATTATTCCCACCTTCACCACAGCATGGCACCTTGAAATTCAGAAAGCAAAAATAAAATTCTAGTTAGAGAATAAGATGTAGCCTTAAAATAGTAAAAGAATCACCCAAACTGTAATATTTGTCAATAAGGGATATGATTTGGGATCATTTAAAAATAAAGCACTGTAGAGCCCTGACCAGGCGGATAAGTTGGTTGCAACTTGTCTGTCCCACACAATAATAGGTTTGGGGTTCAATTCATAGTCAGAGCATATACCTACGTTGTGGGTTTGATCCCCATTCAGGGTGCATACAGGAGGCAACCAATCGATGTTTCTCTCACACTGATATTTCTCTGTTTCTCTCTCTCTCTCTAAAAATTAATTTAAAAAAACATATCCTTGGGTGAGGATTAAAAAAATAATAAACTACTGCAGAATATTTCTATAATATTGGTAGACTTCTCTTTAAGAAGAATTCAAATAGGAACCATAAATTTATAGCGAACAATCAATTAAGAATGTTTAGTGTGGTGAAGGCCTGGGGTGGGGCAGGAACTGAATGGAGGGGGGCAATGGGGAAAAATGGGGGCCATCTGTAGTACTCACAACAATAAAGATAAAAAAGAATGTTTAATTCTATAAAAGGCTTTATACATTCCAACTTTGCTAGGATCAACACTATCAATTAATTTTATTTTTTCTTTTACAAACAAATCTTAAGATGCCTTCATATTCTGATATTGCTCTAAAAATATCTTACAACAAAACCCAGAAGAAACTCTTTTACCCTACTCTCTGCAGAATTTTAAAAATAGCTCTGGCATAACAACAATAATTTTTATCACAAAAGTTTTTTTCAAATGAAGATTAAGAACTTTATAAATGTCTTATTTTTATGTGGAAAAACTGAATAGCAGTGGAGTAAGTTGTCCAAAATCTCAGTAGGAATCAGGGCAAAGCTAAAAGTAAAACTCAAATCCAATTCCAACTATCAAGCCAGTGATCTGTCCACAAGGCAAAATATCTGTTACCATGGGGGACAGGCATTCTAAAAAGACAGTAGAATTAAAACATGTTATATCATAATCGTACAATCATGTAATTTATGAGTGTGTGTGTAACAGAATGCTATGTATATCAGTGAATTCCCAATGTTTTATTCTTTTCTTTTAAATATATTTTTTATTGATTTCCGAGAGAGGAAGGGAGAGGGAGAGAGAGGAACATTGTTCAGCTGCCTCCTGCATGTCCCCAACTGGGGATCGAGGCCACAACCTGGGCATATGCCCCCACAGGGAATTGAACCGATGACCTCCTGGTGCATGGGATGATGCTTAACCAATTGAGCCACACGGGTGGGGCCAATGTTTTATTCTTATAGATTGTCTATTCTTATTTTTGTTCACTTGTTTCTCCGTGCTTTGTGTATACTTATTTTCTCTGCTATTAGACTATAAGATGCTTTATAGTGCAGACCAAATCTTAGTACTTTTGTACATGTAGCATAGTGCCTTAAATACAGTATGTATTCAATAATGTGGACATGTCTGTGTGTAAAATTTTATAGACATATTCACTTAACTATCTCCTCCCAACCACCAAAGCAAATCATGACAGCCTTTGAACATCCCTAAAAAACCCAAACCCATATATTAAAGAACAAAAATATGATCAATAGAGACTACTTCAGTAATGCCAATGCAGAGATACCTAACTGTTGGTGGCAGTTATACTAGAGTGCACCAGGATGTAAGAAGAGAAACATATTCCAATCAGTCTTCTTTACTATTTATTAACAAATTTTATGAGGTTTCCCGGTGAAGTAATAGGATAAAATGAAGAACAAATTTAGTTTGGGATTTAAAAAACACATGGCACTTTGCCTTTAAAAAACTTCTTCCCTCATGTCTCATTAATCAGCTCTGAGGTTTATTTATCCATGTTACTCTCTAAATTAACTGTAATACAGAATGGGCTGAAAGAGTTATTTTCTGGGCATAATTTTAAACAAATACTCACAAGTTATCTTCATTTCTCTTTAAAATTTTTCTATAGTCTTACCTCCCAGTCCAAATAATCACAAACATCTTCAAAGTTAGTGAGCAGAGAGACTGAGCAGAAGAGCCGTGGCAGTTCATCCCTTGTCATTGGGGGGAAACGGCTATCTTTAAGGGCACTGTTGAAAACAAAGCAAATATTAAAGCAATCGCTAGATATGAGTGTTCCTAATTTCAAATGCAGACAATCATTTGAAAAAGGTAAGAGATAAAAAAAATCAGAAAGGTGCCAAAGGCGCCAATAATCTTCGAATGTATTTAAAGGGCCCAAAGATTTTAGTTGTCAGTTTTTTTTTTTTTTCATTCAAATGTGTTTACTAGCCAACCCTGTGACCAATTGTATTTGCAAATAATAAATGATCAATCACATTTCTTGCACAGTAATTTCCTGGTGTACTCTCCTGTTACTTATAGAATCTGAGGTGAACAAAAACCAGACGAGTGGAAACATGTGGGAAGACTTCTGGATCTAGTGCCAGTGGGGGTGGAAATTTACACAAACACAAACACACACACACACACACACACACACACACATATGTATTTCATGTTGTAAAAAGTTCATACTACTTTGGCCAGTTACCATGGAACAGCATTCAAAGAGTTCAAAATAATGATCAAAATTTCATTTTCTTCAAGCAAAAGAAATAAAAATGAAAAGAATCATGCCAATTACAGACTAAAAATACAAGGATATCAGGCTCCCTATAAAGGATAATTCAAGATATGACTCAAAAATTGTGAAACTACAGGAAATAAGGCTAATCAAGGAAATAAAAGTATGATTAGGAGACCATTTATCACATCAATGGATTTCTGAGTACATCAATTCTGACTGGATCCTGTAATCAAAAGTAGTACACCACAATGCCAAACTCTAGAAAAACTTCACTGTAAAGGACAAAAATGTTGGGAGATCATAATTCTTCCTGCAACAATAGAAAATACACACACACACACACACACATACATACACACACACACGGGTACTATGGGTTTTAAAAGAAACCAGAAACCACTTCCTGGTCAAGAAAAACAAATATACCTCTAATTACAAACTATATTAATGCTACTGCTGGCATTTGCACCACTGATCCTCAAAGGTCTTATATAGCAGCTAGTCTTAGACATGTCTTCACAGATTAATACTTAGAGGTTACAAATTTAGAGCCTATGAACTGTTTGGGTCATAACAAAATTCTGCAGCCTTCAGAAATAATTTAATTCCTTTTTCAGTGACTTCCTCATTGCTGGATGTCTTTTGTTTTTCCATCCCTACCTTTTTTGCATTCTGAAACTCACCTACTGTAGTGTATCAATATATACCTATGTTTGTATTGCCAATGCATTTTGGTGGTCGTTCTGTCCTGCTATACAAAGAAAAATGCTCATAAAAAGATATAGAGGTGCCCTATATAAAGTATAAATATTTTTTTTCCCAACCACAGAGCCAAGATTAACCAAGAAAATCAGGAAATCTATGATAATTCATACTCTGAAAACAGCATTTCACTATTTTATAATTTAACAACATAAATTTCCTACAGTCTGGCGTCTTCTATTTTCCTATTGGCAAATAAAGTTTTAAAAAGTATTTTCAAGTTCTCATTCAAAGCCAAGATAAAGACATATGCATGTGTATAAACTCCACTTTTTCCCCACCAATGCATACACATATACTGGAGAGAAGTTCTAAAACACAGACCAGAAGAAGCCCATGCATAAAAACCAAAAGGCCAATCACACTTTCAATTTTCCTGTTAAAAAGGGGGAAAAAGGCCTTCATTAGAATAATATAAAATATAATTTATAGTGTTATTGATATTTTTATTGTGGTAAAATATAATAACATAAAATTTACCATTTTAGTCATTTTAAGTGTACAGTTCTGTGAGATTATGTATATCCACACGTATTCACACTGTTGTGCAACAATCACCACCATCCATCTCCAGAACTTTTTTCATTGCGCCCAACTAAAACTCAATACCCACTAAATACTAACTCCCCATTCCTCCTTCTTCCCAGCCCCTGGCAAAATGTAATTGCAATACACTTTTATAATTTCAAGTAATTATAATAATATAGTCACTAACATTTTTAATAAATAATAGCTTTATTGAGATACAATCCACATATCATAAAATTCTCCCTTTTAATGTATATAATTCAGTGGTTTTTAGTATAGTCCCAGAGTTGTACAATTGTCACCATTATCCGATTTTAAAACATTTTCATCACGCCCAAAAGAAAGCCCATACCCATTAGCAGTCACTCCACATTCTCCCCTCCCCCCAGCTCTTAGAAACCATTAATCTACTTTCTGTCTCTATGGATTTGCTTGTTCTGGACATTTCATATAAGCAGAATCATACAATATGTAGCCTTTGTGTCACACAGCACAATGTTTCTGAGGTTTCACTCACATTGTAGCACATATCAGTGCTTCATCTTTTTACTGCCTAATAATATTCAATTATCTAGCTACATCACATTTTCTTATCCACTTATCTGCTGATGGATATTTGGCTTATTTCCACTTTGGGGCTATTATGAATAATGCTGCTAAGAACACTCTTTTTTTTTTTTTTTTACTTTTTGTGTGGACATGTTTTCATTTCTCTTGGGCAGATACCTAGGAGCAGAATTGGTGGGTCATATGGTAATTCTATGCTTAACTTTTTGAGAAGCCATCAAACTGTTTCCCATAGTGGCTATACAACTATACATTCATACCAGCAATGTATGAGGGTTCTTTCCAATGTCCCCATACCCTTGCCAATACATGCTATTTGTCTGCATTTTTAACTAGAGTGCTAGGCCTCCTTTAATGGAGAGTATTTTGTATTTAGATCTGGTTTTTACATTAAAATCTATGTGCTGAAGTTGCCATACAGTTAATTTCTCAACACTCTGAGACAAGTTATCATTTTCTTCACTTTATTTTGTAGCAAGCCAATGAAAGGTAAATTGTAGCTCAGTGCAATTCAAACTATTTCAAATTAAGGAAATATTAAAAAATGTAACTGAGGATCAGGCTAGCAAGCCTTCCCAGTTGCTCAATCATTCTGGTCTTAAAAAAAAAAAAAAAAAAAAAAAAAGAATGATGGGAACAAGGAGTAGGTGGGAGAATGCTACATGGCTAATAAGAGAAACTGACAATCATGCCTCACCATACCAAGATTCAAAAGTATTAACTTCAAAACTCTGAAATAGTGAAGGTATATTAGTCATGATGGAAGCAGTCCGATTATACAGAGACACTCAAACAAGACTTTTAATTCTTGTATTTTTCATCAACTCTAAGTAACTTTTCATTAAATTCATGAGCATAGAAAAATTCCAAAAGGTGGAAAGCCCTCAATATCTCTAAATGTAAATTCCTAGGGAAGCAAACTAGCAATGAAAGCCTAGCAAGGATTTAAAGGATTATAAAAATGATGAAAACTGCAGCTGGAGACTGACCTCAGAGCTGCTAGACTGGTGTGGATAGCTGATAAACAAGAAGATTCAGCTTTTCTCAATCCAACTCTCTTTTGATTATAAAACATGCAGTGTGGAAGGTGAGCCTATAGAACGGCTATGCAGTCTGGAGTTGGGCAGTGACTTATTCAAGGTGACCCAGCTAGTTAGAGACACAGGTGGGGATACAACCCAGATTCTTGACTCAAGTCTAAAATTATTTCTAGTATCTATACTTTAGTTGCCACTTGTGAATGGATTTTTTTTTTTTTATTTTAGAATTAAATGCCTGCCTTACATGGCAATTCTGATCTCATACCTGCAATGCCTCTGCCTAAAAAAGATATATAATAATTTAATAGCATTCATTAGTAGCCAAATGGTAAATAGAGCTAGACTTCCTGTCTACTGGAAATCTGCAGGAGCAAAAAGGATTTTAAAATATTAATACCGTCCATGGAAAGCATTTTATACCAAAGTAGGGTCTGCCAATTTAAATTCTAGGCAGTCTAAGGAACTGAAAAATAATTACATCTGTAGTAAATCCATACAAAGTTCTCTTTGCTACAATAGGAAGCTATTTTCTAATGTTTGAATATTGCTATGGAAAAAACAAAAAACAAAAAAATGCTTACGTACAAAACTTCATCACCCATATGATGGATGGGTAGGTTTAAACAACAGTTTAATTCACATGCCAAATTCAAATATATTCAATTCAAACAGGCATCTTCCCAAGAATATATTTATCCTAATTGAGAAGCAGTATTAACATCTGTCAAAGTTAATATCTAGTGCTAAATAGCACTTTAATGAAAATGAACATTTTTAAAGAAGGAATTAAGAGTTTGGCTATGAAAGAATCAAAGTGTTTGTGACAGTGCCTAGAAACTATGAGAGAGAAAAAAACAGCCAAAAGAGACAAAACCTTAGATATTACAAAGCTCATCATAAACAATACAGCATGCAATAGAAATGATTTAAGTGAATCTAGCTAGGTAGCCATTTGCTCACTCATTCATTTGCTTTCTAAAACACTGACGACCTTAATCAGTTATCCAGTGGAAAGTTACCAAACTGAGAAGGGCTTCATATTACAGGCAATCATTTTTCAGGACCAGGAAGTAATTAAAAACCAAAATTAAAAATCCCTGTTTGGATAGGTAAAGAAAAGCAAATCAAGCATACATTAATTTAAAATAAAAAACAGTTTTTTTCATGAGGGTTTTCAATCATGTAGAAATTCTGCCATTCCTTATCAGAGCTTCTGGAACAGAATGCACATGTGGCATGTGTGAACTCCAGAAACTTAATTGTACTAGAATTATCCATAACCTTTCTTTCACATTAGGAAGCAATTTTCACTTCCCTGTTATTAAAGAAAATAACGGGTATAAAACAGAATCTAAAAAAGTGACTACCTAAAGGGTAAAGAGGAGCGACAATAGACACGGTTATGGTTAAAGAAGGGGCAAAGAAACTTTATTTTGGTGAGGGTTGTGACCCAAAAGGAAATTTTACATCGTTAAGCCATATATAAAATGTTCTTTTATTGGGAGATATATATTTTTTTTTACTTTAGAGTAATAAATACAATCTATTTACTATTCAATGAACATTATGGTTATTAATTTTAAAAATATATTTTAATGTGATA